GGGGGGGGGGGGGGGGGGGGGGGGGGGGATTTACCACCACACCCACCAGCAGCAACATGAATTAGCAACAACACAAAAAATACAACAAGAACGTACACAACAGCAACAGCAACAGCAACAGCAACAACAACAACAACAACGGCAACAACGACAACGTCAGCGCTAATCGAGCTTCGAGAAATCGCTCCCCATGGGGTGTGGTATCTTGCGTCACACCAGCACTAGACACCTGTAGGTCGATGCACTTGGCGAACTCCTTCGCGGCCTTGGCCGCTTCGAGCTCGTCGCTGGTGGTGTGAATCTTGTCCTCGAGCTCCTTCTGAGACAAGTCCTTCAAGGCGCTCCGGGCCTTTTCGGCCTCCACTACCTCTTCGATCACCTTGATCTTCTCCTCCATCTTCACCAGCTCCGTCTGACGTCACAGCAAGCCGACAAAAAGACTTCGCGTTTGGTGATATTTCGTGTGCGCCGTTTTGGGTAGTTGGCTTGTGGCCACGGAAGATGCCCGCATCAATTGGACCGGTCCGGATGATGAGAAGGTACTTACCAGAGTAGTACCGAAACGGTGCTCTATCGTCAAGACAACAACAACAACAACAACAACAGCAACAACCAGCGACAACAACCAGCGACAACAACCAGCGACAACAACAACAACAACAACAACAACACCGACAAACACAGCAACAACAGACACACCAGCCACGGCAAACAGTTTTTCGACGATGGACGACAGGGGCTCAGGAGGCAGGGAGACGATCAAGCGTCCCGTCCCGGGCTACACACGCACAAAGGGCAGCGAGCGACGCTGGATACAACTATCTGCCCATCAACTCGATCGAGAGACGACAAGCGGCGGCGACCGGTTGCCCTGCGCCATATTCTCCTTTTTCCTCCGGATTGGTATTCAAGCATTCGTACTACACATCTCGCCTGCAACTGCCCCGCCTTCGCGTAGTCGGCGTTAGCGGCCGCCTCGTCAATCTCGGCCTTGGTCTTCTCCTCCTTCTCTTTCAGCTCGGCCAGCGTGGGGTTCTGCTCACGCTGCGCCTGCGGTATCAATGGTATCAAGGACGACACGGTAAAGCGTGACAGAAGTATTGGTGGCAGACATGTGCAAAATACAAAGTACTGGTGTCGTATGCTAGATTGATTCGTTGTCAATGGAACCAGCGGGGAGTCAACCCACGAGGGCAACACCATACCAGGCACGTCACAACAGCTGTTTGTAAAATTATGTTTTCGTTGCAACATTCTTGTACAAGTACGAAATATTCAAAATACGGACGACACCAGCACTAAAACAACAACATCCAACACCAACGGACCTCCGCACCACCACCAATGACAACAACAACAACAACAACGCACCTCGAGGTTCTTGATCTCCCTCTGCAGCCGCGTGCACACCGCATAGTTCTGTTCCGCCTCTGCGTCGGCCATCCTCCACCCGGCCTCCATCAGACGCACTTCCACCTCTTGCCGAGCGGGGCCGCCGTCTGCCCCGATCGCGCCGCCCCCGTTGCCGTCGGCCGCTAGCTCCTTGCGCCTCTCGTCGCGCTCCTTCATGGAGGTGGCCACGATCTTCAGGTGGTGCAGGCGGGACGCTACGGGCAGACAGGCCAAGAAATCCTGAAAAAAAGTCAGGTGGTCGGGCGTAGGTGAGACGCCGAGTGGTGTTTTGACTACCGTGGTGAGGAGCATATGCTGTCGGATGGGTGGGGCGGGTGTAGGCCAACATGATGTTGGTGTTGATTGAACAATGACTCATTCGGTCCTGGATAGGACAAAGATCGCGCCTGAGGACAGTGCTAACCCTAAGCTATCAAGGTGGGATGGCCGCGAGAAACAAAAGACAATCACGACAACAAGACCAACTAACGACAACAACGACATCAAGACACCGCCATTAACGACACCGGCAACAACGACAACGGCAACAACCAACAAATAACAACGAAAACTGCAAGAGCAGATAAAAAGGAAGGAGTGGTGTGTTGCCCACCTTTTTGTCTCTGAGCGCCTTCTCCTTCTCCACTAGGGTCTCAATAGCCGCTTCGATCTCGCTCACCGAACTGCCTGCGAACTCCTTTCTCACGCCCAGCTGGGTCACGAAGTACCTCACTCTCAGCGCGGACTTCAACAAGTACAGTGCATCGACCAGAACCGAGCAAAACGTGACAAAATTGAGGTTCACACTACAGGATACAGCGGTTCACCGCGGGAGAGACGCATGCTAGTACGACCAGCGGTACAATCTACCGAGAAGCGGGTAGAAAACCCACTTAACGTCTCTCTTGCGCGCCCTATTGGGATTGGCTTGGTATCTACTGAACATCTTACATTCTCGGAAAAAAATCGTTGCGCCGTTCTACCCGTCTCCGTGCCATTCTACCCTTTTGCCATTCAATGCCATCCTCCCCCCGTGTTCACCAAACCAAACGCTACGCAACACCACTTCCGCGCGCGTTCAATAAAAACGGCGGAGAGCTCTCCACGAGATTGGTCCAACGTCGCTCACTTTCGGCAACGCCATTCTCCTCTGCTGTGGAGTTCAAAGTCGGCCCAGGGAGTGCGATGCCTTACATTATGTCACCTAGCACTCACCTTGACCACCTTCTCGGCATCCTTCATAGACACGAACCGTTTACGGTCCCTGGACAGACGGTACCACCGCACCATCGAAGTCGCCGCCCGCCTCTCTTGGAGCAGGTTCCGGAAGTAAGCCGCGGCTCGGAGGTACTTCATCACCTTCACCGACGACTTCAAGAACGGCTGCGTAGCGATGGGCGAAGCAGGCCATGGGGGCAAAATGGCGTGTAGGGGCGTTTGTTGTTAAGAAAGAAAGGCTGCAAGTGTGCAGTTAATGAACCAAGCTATCCACGAAGTTTGCCGCCGTAAATGTACAAATCGACGTGATTCCGCAGCGGTCGGTTTTCGCCGAGCAGCAGCAGCTACCGCCCGCGATAATGTCGTTTCATACTTGCTTGCTGTCTCCGTCCCATTGGCGGTCGGGTGTTCCGACACAACAGATGCCGTCAGGGACGAGATCGAGGTCCGGTGGGACGCCGGCGGGGCGGGGTCGGGGGCGCACTGCTCAGCCACCCACCAGTAGCACGACGCGACGGACGCCGCGCGGTCGGCTGCACCGCTGCGCGGCGGCGGGGCGAGAGCGCCACCGACATTGCCGAGATGCGTGCGGCGTTGGCGGCAATGCACGAGAGCTTGGATGTCGCGAACGGTCAGGTTCGCCAGCCGGTTGCACGCGGAGAAAGAAGATCGCGAGGCAGCGGCGTCGGCTGGACCGGCATCGAACTGGGGCGGGCGAACACCGGCGGGAGACCCGCCCCTGGTGTGTTCGTCACAGACCATGTCCATGATGCACGCGCAGAACGCTCGCGCCAAGATTTCCATAGCGGCGTGGCACAACCTGGCTGTTCATGAAAGCCTGGATACTTATCGGCGAGGGGGCCACGGTTGCGAACTTGAAGCTTGCTGAGATTCAGTCGTTGGTGCAGGATGAGGAGCGGCTGACTGCGGCGGTGCTCGACCAACCTATCGCCATGTCGGGCTTTCGCGTACGGATGTACATCGCCGAGGGCGACGGCCGGTAACCGATCGTCCACGAGCAGCCACGGTCTGCCGGCCGGAGCTTCGTCTCCAAATTTTTCCAGTAAGCAATGGTAGGATGAGATACGTCGTACATGGCACCGGGTGTTTGGCGTTCGCGACCATCGTTGGAAGCTTCAAGCTGTAGCTTACACATGTTCATCTCACCAGTGGAGACTATGAGCCGATAGACCGCCATCAATCCGGCCCAGGTCTCTTCGCCGTTGCCTAATTTGAGCGGTAGAAGTATTGCCGTACGCCCCGCACGGCCCGCTCTATTGACGCACAGTCCGCTCTGTTGAGAAAGCAGAGCGGGCCGTGCGGGGCGTACGGTAATACGTCTACCGCTCAAATTAGGCAACGGCGAAGAAACCTGGGCCGGATTGATGGCGGTCTATCGGCTCATAGTCTCCACTGGTGAGATGAACATGTGTAAGCTACAGCTTGAAGCTTCCAAAAATTGCCTCGACCGCGATTGCTGCGACGACAACGCTCTCGTGGTCGCGAACGCCAAACACCCGGTGCCATGTACGACGTATCTCATCCTACCATTGCTTACTGGAAAAATTTGGAGACGAAGCTCCCGCCGGCAGCCCGTGGCTGCTCGTGGACGATCGGTTACCGGCCGTCGCCCTCGGCCATGTACATACGTACGCGGGAGCCCGACATGGCGATAGGTTGGTCGAGCACCGCCGCAGTCAGCCGCTCCNAAATTGCCTCGACCGCGATTGCTGCGACGACAACGCTCTCGTGGTCGCGAACGCCAAACACCCGGTGCCATGTACGACGTATCTCATCCTACCATTGCTTACTGGAAAAATTTGGAGACGAAGCTCCCGCCGGCAGACCGTGGCTGCTCGTGGACGATCGGTTACCGGCCGTCGCCCTCGGCCATGTACATACGTACGCGGGAGCCCGACATGGCGATAGGTTGGTCGAGCACCGCCGCAGTCAGCCGCTCCTCATCCTGCACCAATGACTGAATCTCAACAAGCTTCCAATTTGCAACCGTGGGTCGCTGAGGTCCTCACTCCGGTGGAAAGAGAGAGACTGGGGTTATGTCTCGAACGGGTAGACGTTAAGTGAGATTATGTTTACTTTCTAAAAAAAAATAGGCTGCTATTCTAGGGGGAGAGAGGGAGACACAGTAGTACTGATGGGAAGAGACACGGTAGGATAGGCGCCGAGAGCGTCTGCTGGAAACGTCTTCTGGTAGTGTGGTTTCTTTCTCTTCCCCTCGCGTTGAAGGAAAACAAACATCAATGAAATGGCAGTTCAAAAGAAAAACAAAAAACAGTATTTCCGCCATAGAAAGTAAAACCGGAAGATGCACATGGGCGAGGGTGCGCGCGGGAGGGGGGGGGGGGGGGGGGNGGGGGGGGGGGGGGGGGGGGGGGGGGGGGGGGCTGTGCTCCCTTTACTTTGATTCTTACACCCCCGAGCAGTACCGTTTTTTTTTCACCTGCAGCGTGGTGCGCACAACCCTCCTTCGCCTGGTGTTGACCACCCAGCGCTGGATGACGCGGGTGGCGCACTTCTTCCGAAGGTCCACCATGAGATTGAGTTTGTCCGACATGGACGTGCGGAGGAAAACCTGTCGTTTCGACCCAACAGCAACCAACAAAGGTTTTTCGAACAGCGGCGGCAGTTGGATGATGAGTAAAGTTTCCGCTGCAGGCAATGCCGACAATAAAACAGCTGAAGTAGAAGCACAGGAGGGTCTCCAACACAACGAACGAACTGCAATTCATCCTGGGCTCATTACTTTCAACTTACAAGAAAGGTTTTTCGTGTTTGTGAAAAAAATTGAAAACACACCATGTTTCAACACCATGTTCGTTCTAGAGCGACTGGCTCGTTCTGATTGACCCCCATCACATTTCACTTTTGTCTTGTCTCACCACGATAAATGCGAACGGCCTCGGGCTCTTCAGTGAGGCTGGAATCGACAGAGCACACGCCAGTGATCGGCTAAAACCTTCCTCCACAGGGCGAGTTTTCTCTGGGCACACAGCAGCTTTGAGTAAGAAAACATCCTACCACAACACTGCAACCCCGGCCCGCTTTCCATACTACGAAAAGGAGGCCAACAATTTCCGGAGCAATGAGGAACTGAGGATGGGAGGCACGCATCCGAGATGTATCCCACATGAAGTACATCCCATATGGTGGATGGTAGTCCAAGCTCGACGGTGGCAAAATGTATCAGAAACCGAGCCTTGATCCAAAGTTGACCCACAAAATAAGTAAGGGAAGACCGCGGTGGTGGTGTTGAATCCAACATGACAGTCAGACAGACAGACAGACAGACAGCTCATGTCAAAAACATCCCCTCTTCCGATTCAGTTGCTTGGTTAAGCGCAAAAGCGGCGCACCTTGGACGTCCCGATCTGCCAGTCGCGGTGGGAAGCGCCCAGCATGCTGCTCAGGTAGGCGACGAGGGCCTCGAGATCCTCGGCGTCGGGCTGCAGCACCTTGTACTTCTTGAGGAAGTCGTCCTTCAGCTCGCGAAGGGCGTAGCCCTGAAAAAACGGCACCGAAAGCCGGAAGAAAATCCATGGCTATCGCAAGGTTGGTTTAGAAAGTAGGCATGCAAGGGTGATTCAGAAAGTAAGTTCGCGAGGTTCGTTTAGAAAATACAGCAGTGGGCATGCAATCACAGGAAATACCCCCGATCGAGCCAAAGCCCGAATCGAAGGGAGGGATGTGTTCAACACGTCACTACAGTGAGCGTTGAGATAAAAGTGCTTCACAGCGAACAACGGTCGCGGAAGGGACGTAAATCACAAACGCTGCTCCGGGCTGCTCTGCCTGCGTCTGTTGTCCTTGTTTCGCCTTCTTGTTCAGCCGCATTGTTGGGGTGCTGGTGTCGGTGGGGGTTCCATTCCGGGCGGCGCGTGTTACGCGTTTTTTGTTCTCTTTCGTCATCCGGTTTTCTACGCGTCATTTGCAATGGCCATGGAGACTACTTGGTCTTGCCTCGTGTTACAGATTACCTCCGATCCGGTGTGGCAGACATGCACCTGACACCCTACCCACGCACCTTACTAAACACCATCAGCTCGACCATAAGCGTACTATACGCACTCGACACCCGCATGAAGCTCACGTGGTGAGCCTCTATGGTAGCCGAGGCTACTAAGCTCTTTTTTTGTCCCCTCTGTGACGTCACCACGTAGGTCTTCGTGCAAGACCCTTCACTAGGAACCACGTGTGGCGCAGCGGAGCTGGGGTCACACGGGAGGAGGGCACAACACAGGATTGTTCGTCTTCACTATCACAATAAAAAATGAAGCATGGTACACCACAGTAGATACCTGCTGGCGGATGCGGATGGTCTCCATGGTCCCCGAGTACTGCAGCTGAAGCAGAACGTCCTCGCCGTCGAACCTGCCGCTTTGCTTGTCCGGGTTGGGCTTGACGCATCGGATGTACCTGGAGGGGCGGCGGGATACCACGATGTGTGAGCGCATGCAGTGGTGTGTAGTTGCCTTGCGCAAAACCAAGACCTAGATGCTGCCAGGTACTCCGGAGTACGCTAGTATATCATAAACCATGACACGATTTCTACTCTCTCTTGCGCAAGTCGGTGTTGAACGTTTGTACCACCGACGAATGAGACGGATACTGTAGGATAACAATACCAGAGTGATGGAAACGTTGGTTCGAAAATGATACAAGCGTTACGAGGGACAGTAGTCCGAGGGACAGTAGTCCAGGTTCGCCCTAAAAAAACGAACCTGGGGTGAGTGATATGGAAGTATTCAGGTTTGAAAAACGACTAAATTGGGATGCGGTTCAGGTGACGGTTCAGGTTCGCGGCAACCAAGAACGTACTTGGGTGGTTGACGACAGTTGTGTTTCGGGCAGCGATTCAGGCGACGCTTAGCGATGAAACATCTAACCTGGGGTGAGCAATAGCAATGGTGGTTCCAAAAACAACAGAAATGGGTTATGGTTCGGGGAACGGTTAAAGTGACGGTTGAGGCTCGCCGTAGCATACGAACCTGGGGTGAGTGATGGCGATGGTGGCCATGAGCTCGGCGAGGCTCTCTTTGAACTGGATGCCGATGCTCTTGGAGCGGATGGTGCGTCCGCCGGCCCCGCCCCGACCGCGTGTAGGCGCTTCAAAGGCATCTTCGTCGTCGTCGTCGTCGTCCTGACCATCTTGCTCGCCGGCTTTGAACACCTGACGCGGTCGGGGGGGGGAGGGGGGGGGGGCCCAACACCGGGAGAAGG